TTTGGAATCAACCAATAAACATTTGTGATCACAACCCCTGGCCTCCCCGTCTTCCATATGAATCGGCATTTTTTAGACATTTTAAATCTAATCCAAAATTTCTCATGTTGTAGATGAGGAATTGAGAGCTAGATACCAAAATGTAAAACAGAAAATAAATTGCATTCACAGAAAACTTTCTCAGCAAAACACCACAGGCTCTGAATGGAAGATTCTGTTTTTGCTGTGGTTTCCTGAGACTAGGATTCAGGGTAGAGTGGGGAAAATAGCCTCAATCTTTAAACAACAACAACAACAACAGAAAAAACCTCCACATGTCCGGCATTCACCTAACAACCTCTATGGGTATGAACGGTCTGTCATGAAGATTCATTCAACCCAGCTAGCTCAAAGCCACATATTACTAACCCAACTTTGACTATAGTCACTATTAGAACAATAAAAAACCTGTCTAGAACAGCTTGAAATTGACCAGCATGTTCCTCAAGCCCCATTACTCCTCAAACCCACCAACGCACAGATCGGTGAGGCAACTCAGACGAAGGGAAGAACAAATTTTCACCCAATTTTTAAAAAGAATAAAAGATGCCAAAGAAACACTAGTTACAAAGGGATGGGAAGGTAACTGAAAAATTTTGGAAATTTACAAATGCAATATCTATTTCATAATATTTTTAGAGCAACTGTCACAGTGCCTTTTGCAAGAAAAGCTGTATTTTTAATTACATGTCAAGTTTGATAGTTTTACCTGCCGTAATATTAGCTTCTAACCATATAAAACATCTGAGCATCATTTCTCCAGTCTCAAAACACAGTTCACCTTCTGTAAGGACAGAACTTGAAGGGCGCCTGGGTGGCAAAGTCGGTTGAGTGTCCAGCTCTTGGTTTCGGGTCAGGTTGTGATCTCACAGTCGTGAGATCGAGCCCCAGATTGGGCTCTGCACTCAGCATGGAGTCTGCTTGGGATTTTCTCCCCCTCTCCCTCTGCTCCTCCTGCTCATGCTCTCTTTCTCTCTCTAAAATAAATAAATAAATCTTTTAAAAAAAAAAAAAAAGACGGAACTTGAGGGGTAGGATTGGATAGAAAGGGAGGGAGAAGGGCAGATATCACTCCTGCTCCGACTATTACCACTCAGTGTTAAGCACTGCCCTTCCTGTGAGGATCCCACAAGGATAACAGGCCAACTAGGACAAAGTTGGGGAGCACAGTCTCTGTAGTCACCCACTGAGAATCCAATGCTTGTTGGCAAGAGCTGATTGGAAATCAGCAAAGTGCAGGAGAAGCTGCTAAGAGCCTCTGTGAACCTGACATGAAAGATCAGATCAAAACATCAGGATGGAGAGCCTATTACTATTATCATTTCAGAAAGAAAATAACCATTAGAAATTGGCCAGAACATAGGCCTTCTTCCAATTATTTCCACAAACAGGAGACTCAGATTTCTAATTAAAAATCACTATGCACAGAGCCAAATATCTGAGTCAGCAGAGAACTTCCCTAATTGTTACCCTGCATTCCCTCTGAGCCATCTGTCCTGCCTGGATAGCTCTCTACCCTCACCCCAACCAAACCACAGATGAAGACTAACCTTTCCCCAGATAAATATACTTCATCAAATCTGCTGATACTCATAACTGAAATCCCCAACGCAGAAGTCATTTTAACAGCCCTTAGGGGTTAAAGGTCTGATTAGTACACTGATGGGAGTAGGATCCTCATGGGGATTTTGCTCATTCTGCTCAACCAGGACCAAGAAGGAAATCCTACAGAATTCCTATTCTTTGACCCCTGTGTATAACAAATGGGTGGAACAGGGCTCAAGAGAAGATTAACTCGAGGGTGAGGATGGAAGTGCTGGGGAAGGTAGTATGGAGAGAGACTGCATGTTGGAATACATGTGGCAGTTAGAAAGTTCCGGGGCAGCTAAAGGCACTGACCTTCAGATTTCCGGGTGTGACAATGATCCACAACAGGCTAGGAGCGGCAGCTCCCTGAACTTCCAACAGGCACATTCAGTCCTGTCAGCGTGGACTCAGCCCTGCCAGCACCAGCAAACAAACACGCACATTCTTCTCAGAGCCGACATGCCATACAACAGTCTCTCTACAGGGCCTGTTTATTTAAGAAACCAGATGCTTTGATGTTGGGGCACAAGTTGGGAAGTTCTGTGTAAAGAAGTAGTTAATGACAGGAGCAGAGGGAGGACAGAGAATGAGCAACAATTTCTGGCTTTTAATCATAAGTTTTGAAAATTTTAAGGAAATTATCAAATGGTCTGAACACAGGAATGAGAAGTAAGGAAATTATGTCAGCAACCACCGTAACTATGGCCAAAGCATTTCATCTGTTTAAGACAGTTTTCATGCCTAACCTCAAAGGGGTACTTATAGGAAGAATGTTTTGAAGCAATCCAACTTAGAAACCAACATTAATAAAATCTTCTGTGCTTGCTCAATTTCTCTCATGTGCAAAGGTTATACATGTCATGAATACTCCCAGCTCTCAAAGGAAAGAATCAGTTAAAAGTGTGGCATGAAAACAGTTTTGGGTTAAAGGCAAAAAGAAGGTTATTTCTTGAGTCTGAGAAAAGGGCATTTATAAATACACATACACACTTGCCGGATTTCATGAGGGAAGATGCCATTTAGAGTACAGGTCTCCTAAAACCAGAAGAATATAAAAGTGCTATCATCTTTAGTTTTACCTTGCTTTTTAAAGAAGATGAAAGGCCAAAATATTCTCACAAGCCAAACAAGCCGTAGGTCTAGGAAATTTGCTAAAACCTTCGGAAGCTTTTCATTGTCCAGTCTGAATTATCTTTTCTTTTATCTTGGCACCCCCAGTACCCAGCCCATCTTGGATATCTGGACGGCACTCTCATACACTGACTATATGAATTAATGTGGCTTAACATGAACAGCAAGTTTTAACAAATAAGAGGAGAACCAAGAACCTTTGGTTTTTCCTCAGGAATTGAATCCTGTCATCTTATGAGAAACTACTCTACCAGCTGTACAAAAGTATACAATACCCCTGATAAAAAATTGTTTTGCCATGCTGATACTTTTATTTCACACTGTTTATAAAGGGTCCCTAAATACTAGATTTCTTCAATACAGTTCAGGATGATTTATCAGGACTTCTAAAAATAAAGAACTGAAAAGCAAAACAGACTACTACATAACAATTCCGGGTTAAGGACATGGACCTCTAAGAACTGCTTTACTCAACCATTTCTAAGGTGAAGATTATTAACAACGGCTTCACTTTCATCATATTTACATGTTATAAACAGGGTGTGATCTCTGAAAAAGAGACCATGGGTGATTAACAAGTGCAAAAAGAGCTACTTAAAATTAGGTCACTGAAAGAAGACTGAGGGAAAAAAGCCAAAAAAAAAAAAAAAATTCACTGGAAACAGTAGCGAAATAAAATGAGAGAAATAGAGGGAAGCTTCAAAGAACAAGGTTTCAGGTCTGCTCTTGAGTATATCTGGCCTAGTTTTTTCAACCTCTAGCTTTAGAAATCAATAGTTTACAAAAGACGTATCAAGTCAAACCAATCAGGGAATAAATCCAGGAGTAGCCGCAGGTCCTACGGTAGGTCAACCAGCAAGAGAAGAGTCTAAAATATGGGGTAAGAAGGCTACGTCCAGCTGACTCCAGGAAGGAAGTGGTCCTGTTGTTAAGTTCGGAGTCAGTGCTGTAAAGCCTTCCTCAACTCCCCACTCGGAGATGGAAGTCTACACCATTCTGTTTTCCTCCGTAAACAGGAAGTCGTCCCAGGACGCATTCCACCCTTGCTGCATCCAAGTGGTCCCACCCGTCAGCACTGGTTTGGCCACCTTTACACAGCTGCTGCCTGTGTGGCCTGCAGTGGGGCTCTCCCTGACTGCCTGTGCCCTGACCCCACATCTGAGAATTCTGCACAGGTATCAATTATAGTTCATGCAGAGGGAGAAAGATAGTTCAAGGGGAGACTGAGATTTGGCCGACAGGGAATGTGGTCATACATGGACAAGTGCAGGAAGCCACTCATCTCTGGCCCCCTGTGCAACACTTTTTGAAAGAGGAAGGGATGCGACGGAGAATATGTCACATTGAGAATATACTGTACAAATATGGGTGGCAGCAATTAAACCATCAGTTCTTGGAAACACATGAGGAAGATGCCCATGTTGCAGCAAGGAGCCAGGACCTTCTTAACAATGGGCTTTGTCAGGCCAGTAGTGTGCAAAGGTTGAGGGGCTTGTCCCCCGGGAGAGAACTACCACAATTTTTAAAGTTTCTGACTAGGACCGAGCGCAAAGGAGAATATCTGCAATGTGTGTCCTAACTGTAGGAAATCTTGTTACAACGGGATGAAGACAACCGAGTCCAATGCCAGGATCGAAGGTCAAACTGAAGGCGGAAAAGAGATCACATATATACTGTCACCCCATTTCCAAGCTTGTTCCTTTACCTATTAAAATACACACAGTAACCTAAGAGCTGCTGTGGGATTTCTGAACACCCGCCTACCCACTCTGAAAGTACTGACCCAGCGAGGACACACACCTTTGCTTCTGCGCAGCCCAACTTCTCCAAGCACTTAAGAGGTAATTATTTCTCCAGCCTCCTAGTGGGTTATAGCGTTACTGGGTCCTGATTATTTACACAGACGCAAAACAACGACCCTCAAGAGATTTTGACAACTTAAAAAGAATGCCGTGAAAGTCTAAAGCGGCCTCCCCTGTGACGAAACACAGCCGCGCGGGGCGCGGCGTCCCGGGGGCCGCTCCGGGCCGGACTCCGCCCGCCGCAGTTTCGGGGCCGCGGCCCGGGGCGGGGGGGCGCGGGCGGCGCGGGGCCGGCGAGCGGCCCGGGTCTCCCCGGCTGAGACGCGAGGCGCGCGGACGAAGAAGGAGGGATGGGCCGCGCGGGCGGGGCAGGCGGCCGCCGGGGGGCCCGGGGGCGGCACCTCGCAGTCCGGGCGGCGTCCAGGCCCGGCGCCCGCTCACCTGGTGCGTGTTGTTGGCCAGCTTGGCGACGAAGTCCCGGACCCGGCCGCAGTCCTGGTCCTCCTCGAGCGCGCTGCGGCGCCAACGGCCGCTGCGGGGAACCGGGCCCCCGGGCGCGGCCGCGCGCAGCCCCCAGCTCACCCCGACGGGGCCGGACCAGCGCGACAGCGGCGCAGCGGGCGGCGGCGGCGCGTCCAGCCGGTCCTGGCCGAGGGTCGCCCGCGGCAGCAGCTGGAGGAGAAAGAGGAGGAGGAGGCGGAGGCCGAGGCCGTGGGGCCAGCGCGAGAGGCAGCCCGCAGCTCCCCGGGGCCGCTCCATCGCCGCCAAATGCCTACGCCGCCGACACCTGCCGTCCGGCGCGCCTGCCCACCCCCGCCGGCGGCGCGCCACACCCCCGAGCCGGAGCCAGGCGCTCCTTGGATACGCGCAGCCGGGCCTCTCCGCCCCCATAGGCTGGCCGCCTGTCCTTCTTCCCCAGTCCACTCCTCATTGGCTCGCGTCGCCTCCGGTTTCGGGGGTCCTGGATTCGGATGCCAAGATGCGGGACTGATTGGCTGGAACGTGGCAGAGACCGCTGAGGTCATCCCCCCATCGCCTGGAGTCTCCGGGTCCGGGCTTCCAGAGTTAGCATAGGAGCTTCCCCCACCTCCCGCGAAGCCCCCTGCTCGTGGCGCCCGGACCCCTCGCTGCTCCCTCTGGCACCCTCAGGTTGGGGACCGGGTTATGCCCCCCACCCCGCCTCCCCCACAGACACCCCTAAAATTCCTTGGGTTGCGGCAGCGCCTGGAAAATCTCCTAAGGGAATCCCTCAGCTCGCTCAGCTGGAAAAGGGGGCTTCGTCATGAACCGGTGCTTCAGGTTTTTAACCCTCGCGTACTGGAGCATCCATTGTCTAATGAAGCAGCCTGCCTCGCTGCCAGAAAGGTAAATGCGAACTGTGTGGGCTAGTCCTACGGAGGCAGATAGACATCAGAACATCCGTGACTCATGCAAGCTTGAAGAATCCTCCACTCCACCACGTATGGTCTCACTCACTTTCCTCTTCTGCAGGGAGTTAGGCCAAAGGGAGAATTGCTTATTGGTTTCCCCGAACTTACAAATTCGCTCAGAAATCAGGGGTAGGTAAAAGGGGCAAGGGAATTCCCCACTGCTTACTTTAGACACGATCATTTCATAGGTAGGTGCATGTCTTTCTTTACCAAAGTGCCTTAACCCTGCAGAGAGTGCATTGCGTAAGTTTGGTTTTGAGTATATGATGCCCCCTAAATTAGCATCCTGCCTCTAATCAATAAAACAAAACCCCCATGCTGTTCCCTTTATTGCAGAAACTGCACACTTAACTTTTAGAACATGCAGCGCAGGTAAAACCAGTTTTGTTTTCTTTTTTAAATCAGAAGTTTTTTTTTTTTTTTTTTTTAAAGATTTTATTTATTTGACAGAGAGAGAGGGAACACAAGCAGGGGGAGAGGGAGAAGCAGGCCTCCCGCCGAGCAGGGAGCCCGATGCGGGACCCGATGCGGGACCCGATCCCAGGACCCAATCCCAGGACCCCGGGATCATGACCTGAGCCGAAGGCAGACGCTCAACCGACTGAGCCACCAGGCGCCCCAGGTAAAACCAGTTTTGAATCTTAACTTTACTGACTCCATCCCTTGGAATGCTAGAAGTTGTTCAGTAGAAAAGGTAGCAAATGGATACTAAGTGCGCAAAACGTTACACCCAAATAAGGCCATTAAAAAGTACTTTTAGCTATAAACTGGAGGTAAATCCAAATGAGAATATATTATTCATTGTAGTGCAAAATGGTGCAATGCACCCAACCCAATGTTTACATTAAAATCCTTCTACTCACAGTAATTTGCAAACAAAAAGATTTACAAATTTACATTTTTCCAGAACAACCTTGGTATGACCCGAGAAGTGAAAAAATATTTTTGAATGGCATCTGAGCAGGGTGGTGAAATCACTAGACTAGTATTTCAAGTTCTCAGCTGCTGAAATGACAAAGCTTGAAAACTGGTGTACAATTTGTTCCTTTCCATTACCATGTGTCAGATTATTTTTTTAAAATACAGATTATTTTTTAATCTATGCCAACTATGGAGTAGATCACAAGACAGTCAGTTCCAGTAGCATGTGATTAGCTAGGGGAAGAAGAGGGGCTATAGAGGAATATTTCTTTGTTTGGGTGACACAAAGATGAATGGTCTATTGTCTTACGGTCTTGAAAAGAAAAAACAACTCAACAGTGCCATCTCCTGGAGATATTACTAAATGCACTTTTAAACAAGTAAAATTGTTGCAGTTATCTACCTTCACTTTTGAATATATTGCTTTTTGTTACCAACCAACCATATGCTTACAGAATATATATTTCCTTCATCAACTGCATCAGCTGATAGGGACATGGTACTTTGCATATAGCACTGAGGAAATGTTTTGAGTGAATAAACTTAGATTACTTTCGTCTGACACAGGCACTATATACGAAAGTTGCACTGTCAGATCTCCCTGGTGAAATAATGCACATAAGATCTTACCTCACTTGCAGGACTAAAATATATAAATTACTTATTACTAAAAACTTTACCTTTCTCCAAGATAAATTCTATAGCAGAAAGATGAATAGAAAGCGCTTACACATCACAAAACCATCGCTTTTCCTAGTGAGATCATTTCTGATCCTATTTATTTTTTTAAACAGGAAGTCTTAAAAAAAAGATTTTATTTATTTTACAGAGACAGCGAGAAAGGGAACACAAGCGGGGGGGGCGGGGGAGGGGCAGAGGGAGAAGCATACTCCCCGCTGAGCAGGGAGCCTGATGCAGGGCTCCATCCCAGGACCCTGACATCACAATCCAAGCCAAAGGCAGGCGCTCAACTGACTGAGCCACCCAGGTGCCCCTCTGATCCTATTTAAATTGGACACAAGAAACGTAGAATGTTTTAAAATTCTACAGAAAACCAAACTTAAGAATGCTGAAATTCTATTCTTTCAAGAATGTAGAGGGTACGAAATTTACTGTCTCACCAGCTGTATAGTCCAAGGTAGAAATAACACTGCCCAGGCAGCAAGAAGGGAAAATAGTGTAAGCTGTGGCTAAGGGAGATATGCTAAGATCTATTTTTCCCCACATAATACCCAAAATTCAGAGACACAACTCTCACCTCTCCCTAAAGAAGCATGCTTTGTTCATGACCTAAAGAGAATGTTACAGTCTAGTTCTCCCCAGTAGAAGCTTCATGGGAGCACGGACCGTATCCAGTATTTTCACAACTCTATCCCCAGGGCCTAATACATTACTTGGCACAGTAAGTTTGTTAGATTTGAATAAATGCGAAGTTGTGATAGGATTTTTCAGTGGCATTTTCTACCAGGATTTGATAAAAGGTGAACATGAGAGAAATGAATCTCATGATCATCGTGTTGTATTTATTTTTTAAGTAAAATCTATGTCCAGTATGGGGCTTGAACTCATGACCCTGAAATCAAGAGTCATGTGTTTGACTGACTTGAGTCAGCCAGGCGCCCCTATCATGTAGTATTTAATAACAGGGTTAAAATCACTAGAACAGTCTCCAGAACATTGGTGACAATATATTCTGGTTCCCTACTTTCCTTATGTGTATATCTAAGGCAAAATTTTCCTCCAAATGTTTCCTGCCATCGCAATTTCCAAATGTACATAAACACAAGTTGTTTTGTTTTGCTTTTTACTGGAAACACAGTATGAAATTTAGTATTAATTCAACCTACTCAAATAATCATAACTTATTTTGACATCATGGACTACAACTTCCTACAAATGTCAATGAAGATAATATGCAATCAATTCTCTATTATCCACATATGGATTAGCCATGTTGTAGATAGTGCAGGTACATTTCAAATCTCAATGAGATTTCCCTATTACTCAGTAGGTGTGCAGGCTCAATGGACCTGGCATCGTAAAATCAAGTGTTGATGATATGAAACCAGAAAATCTGAGTTCAAGTCCCCACAGCTTAATTTTCTGTGTCCATGGACACACAGCCTTAGATTCTTCATCTGTTGAAGTATGATAATGATATCTACCTCATATGGCCAATTTTGGGGCTCCAAAAGATTGATTCTTTAAATAATCTCAATGAGTCATAAGATGGAAGCTTTTATAGTTAACTTCATTAAAAATGAAAATCTCTTTCCAAATTACCTATTAAGACACCAGAACTGGGACAACACTGTAGTTGGCTTAATTAACTCCAACCCTCAAAACATGTTTTTTATAGTCAATTTGTTAACATCTCCTTCATAATAAGAAAAGCAGCAAAAGTACCTATTTAATCAAGAGAAACTACAGGAATGAAATGGGTTCACAGTGGTATTAATATCCCTGGGAGGAGCTGCACTAGCTTGAGTTCATTTGCCAACACCAAGGGATTCATGAGATAGTTGATTCTGTTGTAGACAGACACCAGAACAATTTTAGAATACATACTCTGATAGGGTAGGGATATAAAAACCACTATCCTTTTTGCCCCCTAACACGAGCATTTCAAACAAAAGACTGCATCAGAACAGTCTATTAACAAATTTTAAATTTTTCTTTATTTCAGAACTGCCTTTATGTACAGACATCATAAAAAAAATGCACATACACTGAAGATCTTCCAAGAACAGGAGCTGTAATTAAAAGTTAAAAGCATTTAGGAGAACTGAAATTGTCCCAGAGAAGTTCTGAGGATCATGCTTCTTTAAATGTCCTTGATAACCTCTTCAAGTTCTTCCTTTGTGAACATGTGGAAATTCTGGCCGGGCTGCACCGTGGCTAGCTGGAAAGAAAGCAGAGAAGGGTTAACGAGCTGGGCTCAATTACTCTGCAGAAAGCACTAGGTCAGGAGAAGCTGTGTTAGGGATGCAGCTGTTCATTAGGAACTGAGGGATCTGCTGTTCCAGGGATCTCCTTTCCAGCCGTAGGTTCCTAAAAATAGCTCTCTGACTCCCAAATAAAAATTCTTATTGACCAAATTTTCTATTTTGAGGTTATATTCCCACATAATAGTTAACCAAATGGCTGGCATCACTGTCATTATTTGAACTTACTTCAACAAGGACCAGAAAAGCAGCAGCAAATTACATGGGGTCAGTACTTTTTTCTATTAATGATTCCTTTAGAAATATATTAGAAGTGTATTTACAGGCTTGCAAGTGAAGCTTGTGTGTGTGAGACCTTTATTTTCTTGGCCACTCTGTTTCAATTTCCATCAGAAAAATGGGGATAGTAATAGCACTTAACTCATACAGAAGTTGTGAAGATTAAATGTGATAATATATGTAAAGCGCTTACAACACTGCCTACAACATTATAAGTACTAAATATTACTATTATTAGGTATACTGTATTCTCTAAAATCATTCATAAGGCAACTTAACAACAAAGTTTGCTTTGTTTTTTTTTAA